GGGGTCTCACTCTTGCTCAGGCTAATCTGGAACTCCTGACCTCGAGGGATCCTCCTGCCTCGGCCTCCCAGAGTGCTAGGATTACAGGCGTGAGCCACCGCGCCCAGCCTGCTTTCAATTCTTGTGGGTATATACCCAGAATTGAATTGCTGGTTCCAATAGTAATTGTATGTTTAATTTTTTGAGGAACTGCCATGGTGTTTTCCATAGCTGCTGCACCATTTTATGTTGCCGTCAGCAATAAACAAGGGTTCTAATTTCTACACATCCTTACCAATGCTTATTTTCTCCCCCCCTCTTTTTTTTTTGATAATAGCCATCCTAATGGGTGTGAAGTGGTGTCTCATTGTGGTTTTGATTTGCATTTCCCAAATGATTAGTGATGTTGAGCATCTTTTCATGTGCTTATTTGCAATCTATTTATCTTCTTTGTGGATTTTATTTAAGCTTTCTGTTTTAAGTAGCTTTTTTTGGACATTATTCTGGCAAGGGAAGGGGAGGCACTGCTTCCCTTTACTGCTAGATATAGGTACCAATCCAGGTTCCTGATTCGGCCTTTATTGACACCTGAGGTGGGAAGTGGGGGGTGCTCCTTGTGACCTGTAACTGTTGACAAGGGAGTTCCAACTCCCCATGTGATCTCCACTGATGTCATATGGGGAGGGGGAATGCTCATTACTGTCAGGCTGGCTGGGGTGAAAGTTCCAGCTCCTACCTGGCCTTCCGACATCACCCTGGCAGTGGTGTTGGGATTCCTCATTACAGCCTTGTGAGGGTGGACTTCTGGGCTTCCCTCAGCCTTTGCTGGCATGGGCGATAGGTGGAGTCAGTTTTTCTCTGTGGTGTTTGCTTTAACAGAACAGTTATTGTCTAAAAGTTTTCTCTTTTGTTAGGTTGCCTTTTTCCTGGTCCTTTGGCTGAAGAGAGCAGACTTTTGTTGGGGCCTCATTTGTCTGTGTCCATTGGCATTTTTGGGTTGCTAGACTTTTCAGCTACGAGTTTGGGATACCTGAGTTAAAACAGCCCTCTTGGCTGGGCATGATGGCTCATGCCTCTAATCCCAGCACTTTGAGCTTGAGGCCAGGAGTTTGAGACTAGCCTGGGCAACGTAGCAAGACCATGTCTCTACAAAGAGTTAAAAAACTAGCGGGACATAGAGGCATGTGCCCTTGGCCCTAGCTATTCAGGAAGCTGAGCCAGGAGGATTGCTTGAGCCCAGGAATTTGAGGTTATACTGAGTCGTGATCACGCCACTACACTCCAGCTCGAGTGATAGAGTGTGACCCTGTCTCTTTAAAAAAAAAAAAAACAAGTTGAGAAATCAGCAAAAAGCAAAATGGATTAAAAATGAGTCCTATCTGTAGAGGCCATTATAAAAAGAAATGAAATGACAGGCATAGGAAGGAAGCAGCAGGAACAGGGAGGAGAGGCAGAGATGAACTAACAAGTAAAAGCATATGACGAATATACTTTGGAAGAACTACTTCAGGAAATGGGAGAATTTTTCAGATAAAACTTTTAGGTATTTTAAGAAAAATTAAAGAAGTCATAGTACTGATGAAATAATAGATCAGAGATGAAATAACTATAAGATTAGATGAAAAGTAAGCTGGCAGAACCAAGAAAATAGATTGAGGGTGGACCTACTAAAAAAATAAAAAGCATCTTAGAAAAAGCAAATTATAGAATCAACACTGCTGAAATTAAAATCAGTGATAAAGAGACCAGATTTATGAAAGATCACACAAAATGAGACTGGAATAATCAGAGATGAAAACTTACAGGCCAGGTGCAGTGGCTCACACTTGTAATCCTAGCACCCTGGGAGGCCAAGGTGGGAGGATCACTTGAGCTCAGGAGTTCAAGACCAGCCTGAGCAAGAGCAAGACCTTGTCTCTACAAAAAAATAGAAAAATTAGCTGGGTGTGGTGGTGTGCACCTGTAGTCCCTGCTACTCAGGAGGCTGAGGCAGGAGGGTCACTTGAGCCCAGGAGTTTGAGGTTGCACTGAGCTAGGATAATGCCACTGCATTCTAGCTGGGCAACAGAGCAAGACTCCATCTCAAAAATCTAAACAAAACCAAAAAACAACTATTGCAGAGAAGATGCTGGAAAGCAGACAGTAGAGATTTTATATTCACATAATTTGTATGTCTAAAAAAGAGAACACAAAGATGAAAGAAGAAAACTTTCATGAAATAACATTGGATTGAAAGTCTAGATTAAAAATGCTGATTGTATATTTCCCAAACCTCATCAAGAATAATACAGTTTTAGTCACCGCCCCCACTTTTGTTTGTTTTTT